CCTATAAACCTATCCAGACCCCTGCATATATGTTACTTCTCATAGTAGAGCTTAGGCAGTGCAGCAGCCCTGAACCCAACCATGGTAACTGAAGTAGGTCTATTAGCCTGTACTGCAGTGAGATCTGCAGAGTAGGCCAGGAGAGCCATTGTAGCATTTTCTGCCTCAGCCTCATCTCTCATTAATATGGAGGAATTCCAATCTAAGATTACATGAAACATCACAACCAGAAGTCTTTTGATACTCTCTATTCACTCTTTTTATAAATGAAGAAACTGAAGCTCAGAAAACTGAATTAACTTGTTCAAGATCACATTGCTATTTTGGTAACATATATGGCAGAATATTACTTTCCTTTGAAGCAAAACATATCTTTTGACTAAAGGATTTCTTTTGCCTTGTGATTTAGAAAAAGGATTCGGGGGCTTTCATATAGGATTTACTTTCTCCCTCTTTCTCTCTCTAAAGACACACATACGCATGCACACACACACAAACACACATACATATACAACAATTTCACTTCTTGATGTTTTTGTTTGTGCTTTTCACTGTAGGTTACCTACCCTCCATATAACATATGGGTGAAATTTGGGTCAGACCTTTTATCTCTAAACATGAAGGGGAAGGGGAAAATGTTTGTTCTTCCCAGTCACCACTTTTCAAATGGTATCATTATCATGGCCAGAGAATAAATAATGGGACTTCTAATAGAATCCTGAGTACTGGCCCAAGTTTTTAGAGATGGCATTTCACGTGCTTTCTTGGAGGACACAGAGTTAGTACCTCTGAGACATGATCAATTATAAAGGGCCAGGGTTAGAGTTACGTAACAGGCCAGCCTACAGGAAAAACTTTATAAAATAGGGGGATGGAAAAAAATGTGCTGTGCCATTGCATAATAATCTTGTGAAAAACAAAATGCCTTATTCATTTTAATATAAACACTGGAAAAAAATGTTGAGTCTTCACTCTGTCTAATCACATGCAGGGCTTTGCAATAAAAGTGAGGCTGCTTTTCCCCACTAATAAGCACAAAATCAGTCTTCAAAAGCAACATATTTTATTGCACCTATTCTTGGCTCTTCAACCTCCCAATTTATAAATGATTTTTTCCTAAGTTGGGTGGAAGGGTGGGGAAGAGCAGATCAGGACTCATTAGGTGTCTATAGCTTTCTGAGCTATGTGTCATGGGGCTGTGTTCAAAGTCCTTCCCAGTTCAATAGTAGCATCTATGCTCTCGGGGCCTTTATCCTCAGGCCCAGAAAGGTTAATTTGGGGGTTTATTCATGCAGGGTGTATGCACACAAAAAGGTATGGCAAAAAAGTTTCTTGATGCAACTCTGCTTTGGATAAGCTCTGACCCTTGGCAAAATGGTTATCCATGCTTATTTTAGGCCCAACCAAGCCCATCATTCCTTGATCATCTCTGGGATATTTCATACCTGCCTACACATAAAATCTCATCCTTAAATTTTATTTCCCCATCCAAATACCCAAACAATATCCTGTCTCTTCTTCCTTTATGCTGAAAGAGCTCTTGCATTTAGCCTACTTCTTGTTCTAAAATGTTTTTAAGGTGAATTCTTCCAAGAAACATTTCTTAGCACCCCTCCCATAGGCCTTGCCTTCCAATATAGATCTAGATGTTTCTCTTCAGGATTATCTTGATACACCTTGCTTTATCTGTCATCATCTACTTACATGGCTTTCTTACCCCATTCTCAGAATGTTCAAGGATAGGGAACAGGTATACTTTGGTTCTGTATCTGCATCAGGTGGCACAGTGCTTGGCCCAGAGAAAGGGCTCAGACAGCCATGCCTTAAATCAAACTAAGTGCTGCTTTACCTGATATCATGAAATAAGAGGGAGCAGTAATAAGATAATTAGGAAAACGCCCCCAGTAGAGTAGATTTTGAGAAGTAGCTGTATTCAAAGAGCCTAAAAGCAAAAAATATGGAGGCCGTAAGTTGCAGCAGAACTGCAATCAGAGATAAAGAGCTTGAATCTGTGACCTGGACATATTTACCTTCAGTTTGTGTCCTTAGAGCCAACCATTGCCAGGATTATTTCCTCAGAGAGGTGTCTTCATTGAGCCATATTTATAACTTATTTACCTAAGTTGAGTTGTATTTCATGGGTAGTTTACCTAGTCCAGAGACTCTCAGTAACATTCAGGAAACACTATGTACCCATGATGAGCAGCAAGAAACAGCTGGCTTGATTGATAGAGCTGCTTATTTGCTGATCAGGAAGGCAGGTGGTACCGGGCCAGGACCTGCTATCATTATTATGGAAAAAGAAATAGCTTTGTTTCAGTAGAAGCTCTACTAGTCAAGGTGGTATTAAAAAATGAGGAATGAGGGCTTTTCTAAGATGAAGAATGTCAATGCAAATGGAGAGGAGGAATAGGAGTGTGAGGTTGGGGAAGAGAGAAAAATTACTTGATACCTATAAATTAGAATTGCATCTTAAAATAATAGCAAATACTTACGAAGTATTTACTCTGTGCCAAATAAGATATGAGGATGATCTTATTGAATTCTCACCACCACCTTATGATGTAGTTCTATTATAAACTTGTTTTATACATGAAAATAACAGGGCTTATGTAAGTGAAGTGACTTACCAAACATCACAGAATTGATAAGTGGCAGAAATGGGAATTTAAACTTAATTTGTTTGATTCAAAAGTTCAGTTTTTTCCTCTAATTAAAGGTACGATATACATGAAGTAAAAGGCACAAATCTGAAGGGTACAGCTGTATAACATTTTACTTATATATGTAGCTACATGATCACCACCCTGGGTCAAAATATAGAACACTTACAACATCGCAGCAAGTTCCATCGCACTCCTTCCCCATCAATACTGCCTGCCCTCCACACACACATACACACACAAACAGATAATCACTGTTCTGACTTACATCACCATCTGTCAGTGGCTCTCACATTGTAGATCCCGAACCAATAGCATCAGCATTATCTGGGAACTTATTAGAAACACAAATTCTCTTTGTTATTTACCCATTAGTCATTCAGGAGCAGGTTGTTCAGTTTCCATGTAGTTGTGCAGTTTTGAGTGAGTTTCTTAATCCTGAGTTCTAATTTGACTGCACTGTGGTCTGAGAGACAGTTTGTTGTGAACACTTGGACACAGGGCAGGGAACATCGCATACTGGGGCCTATCATGGGGTGGGGTCTGGGAGAGGGATAGCATTAGGAGAAATACCTAATGTAAATGACGAGTTAATGGGTGCAGCACACCAACATGGCACGTGCATAACTATGTAACAAACCTGCACATTGTGCACATGTACCCTAGAACTTAAAGTATGTATATATATATAAAAGATATCACCTAGCCCAATAATAGCCAAGAAAACTTATAACAATAATAATAAAGGGAACTTGGACTACCAGATGTTAAACAGTGTTAAATAATGTAAAACTAGAAAGAAAAGACAGATATATTAAAAAAAAAAAAATTCTCAGCTCCCACCCCAGAACAACTGAATAGGAAACTCTGTGAGCAGGGCCCAGAAAATTGTGTTTTAACAAGCTCTCCAGGTGAAACTGTTGCACAACTGAGTATGAGAACTGTTGCATAGAGCAGTTCTGCATGTTTTAGAATTTCATATACATCAGTAGAATCATATAATATGTACCTTTTTGTATCTGGCCTTTTTTCTCAGCAAAATGTGAAATTTATTCACATTGTTACATGTATTAAGTTGATGCAAAGCTGATTATTGTGTTTTTTGCCATTACTTTGGCAAAAACTGCACTTAACTTCCTTTTGCACCAACCTAAATATCAGTAATTCTTTTTTTTTTTTTTTTTTTTTTTTTGAGGCAGAGTGTTATTCTGTCGCCAGGCTGGAGTGCGGTGGCGCATCTTGGCTCACTGCAACCTCGGACTCCCTGGTTCAAGTGATTCTCTCGCCTCAGCCTCCAGAGTAACTGGGATTACAGGCACGCGCCACCACGCCCAGCTAATTTTTTTCTTTTTTTTTCTTTTTCTTTTTTTTTTTTTTTTAGTAGACACGGGATTTCAACATGTTGGCCAGGATGGTCTCGATCTCCTGACCTTGTGATCTGCCCACCTCGGCCTTCCAAAGTGCTGGGATTACAGGTGTGAGCCACCGCGCCCAGCCAATTATTTCATTTTAAATTGCTGATTAGCAATCCATTGTATGAATATACAATGTTGTCTCTCTGAGAGATCATCAGTGGAACTTTTGTTAAGGGAAGTATGTTTTCTTACTTTTTTATTTATGGCAAATAAAATTGTGGAATCACAAAATTAAGGCCCAAGTTATGCAAGGGAACAGATCATTATGTCATAATTTCAGAAAGGCAATGCAGCCCTTACAACAAAATCTTTCTTACTTGCTTCCTAATGCCAGAAATTTATTTAATAGGGAGCCAAGACTTTTATTCCATAATAAGCATTAATATTTAAAAGGCATGTGTGTATTCCAAAAATAAAAAAAATTTAAAATTATACTGAAGTGTTAATGACCTATATTTTCCTGGCAGTAGAGTATGTATGCTATCATTTACTTATCCAAATCCTCAACTGACATTAATAATCAATCATGCTACTTTTATATTTTGATTTCCAATGGAATCTCAGGATTCCTCTCATCAAATTATCCCAGGCAGGAACTATCAATCCATCACAGCTGACATACCATCTCTGGCTTAATTCTGTGTGTGTGTGTGTGTGTGTGTGTGTGTGTGTGTGTGAGAGAGAGAGAGAGAGAGAGGGAGAGAGGGAGAGAGGAGGGAGGAGAGAAGAGAGAGACTTTGGTGGGGCTTAGAACTAGAGAGAGGGGATGTATGGATCAAAAGGAGAAGCAAAGTCACATTTTCTCCTGCAATTACATTTGAAAGCCTATGAGGTTTGGGTAGCCAGGATGCAGTAAATTCCTTTCTTTTTCTTTTCTTTTATTTTTATTTTTATTTTTTTACTTTTAATAACATAAACAGGAGCCACTCAGAATGCATCCTCTCCTCTTACTCTCTGAGAAAGAGAACAATCATCATCAATGGCAAATGGCAGTTGCATTGAGGCAACACACTGCCTAGGGCCGGCTTTATGCTCAGGAGAGAACACTGCACCTCCTCCTCATGGTTTCTGGTGCTCTACACATTCAGATTAACTCCTCTAGTAATAAGCTATAGAAATGATCCCTGAAAGTATAGCCTTAGTAAATTATTAGTTAACTGAAGCTATGAGATCAATGTAGTAACAACAAACAATGACAACAACAACTATTACTACTACTACTTTTACTGAGAGCTTTGTGTTGGGCTTTATGGCCAGTGATTCACCTGAATTGTCTCATTTAATCCTCAAAACCATTCCAGGCCAATATTATTATTCCCATTTTAAATATTAAAGTGATGTTTAGATGGGTACCCAAATCCACATGAAAGAACTGAGATCCAAATCCAGGTTATCTGATTTTATATCCCGAGTTCTTTGGAAACCATTACTCTTTACTGACCCTGAGATAACTGGATTTCTTTAAGGCTACATAGAAGCCCTTCCCAACCCTTATGAAAAGTGTCTGAGTCCACTTTCCTGCCCTAATAAGAATATAGCGACCACCACTGAAGATCTTAAGGTTATCATTCTTACCATCAGTGGTAACATGATAGAATGATTAATATAATAGAACTGTCAGTGGCACGGGTGTAAGAAATTAGGTATAGGTGATTCATCTCCCCCATGGTGTCTTCTCTCCTCTTTAGTTCTAAATACCGTATGGCTACAAAAACACGCACACTCAGAGTTAAATTTTGAATTATGTATGAAACTAAATGTATCAATAAATTTATCAAACATGTAACACATGTCTACTATGTACCATGTATTAGACTTAAAGCTCCAGGAGAGCAAAGACCCATCTTGTTCTCTTCGATATTCCCATCACCATACACCTGGGAAAATGTAGGTGCTCAACAAATATTTTTTGAATGGATGGAGGGATGAATGTATAAATGTATGCACAACTGCCATTATACTGAACTATGGCATAGGTGCTTGATGTCTAATGTTGGTAATTTGCCTAAAATGGTGGTGTTAGTACAGGGATCTTGTGCGATGGGTAAAAGTTTTATGTTTCTGCCTATTAGACATCTGCAATTACCGTGAACAATATGTAAGGAATAAACAAAATTTGGTTTTCTATGTGTATCTGATATTTTCCCCTGATAACTTAATGGTTAAGGTTTTATTTTCAACAGAAGCTTGCTTCCTTTTTTAGAAAAGCTGAATATATTAACATTGACAGGATAATATAGATACTGTGTCCTTTGTGATTTTTACATTGGATGCTACATTTTTAAAAATGCAAAATAACAAAAGGAGGAATGGAATTCCCAACAATCCATTGCATGGTTAAAATGCATTACATGGTAAGGTAGTCTTTTTCAAAAATAAGTCAGCGTTGGTTCAGTATTGAGAAAATGCTTCAGTGGTTTTATAAAATTGAAAGTAGCACGTTCCTAATCTAGTGAAAGTGAACTTTCAAATATGTCTCATTTTCTCCTGAAATTATGCACAGAACCTGGGACAATGGCAAGCAACTTACCCAAGCATATTTCTATGGTAGCTCAGATTTCCTATTTTTCTGCCTCACACCAAAGCAGTACAAATGGCACACTTGCAAAGTTGGAATGGTGCCCATGTCCACTCAGCATCAAATGCAATTGGTTGCTGTTGAGCAGGAACTAGGAGGCTTACATTGCTCATAAGAACAGTGCCAGTCACTCAATTGGAACCACCCTTTAGGCCCAGATGGGTGAAGCAGATTATTTTTCCTTAAAGGGTAAAGGGAATGATGAACATATTTCTTGCTGTCTCTTGCAGCCCCAGAGTGAAAATCATCTGTGAGGAAGGTCACAAATACCAATACAAACTTTTCCTTTTGGTTCATATTATACATTCTAGGATTATGTTCCAAGAAATGTTACCAACAATAACAATCAAGGGCTTGTGTTCCAGAGTGACACCATGATTTGGAAGAGGAATTCAGGTGGGTTTTTTGATAGTTTATAGGTAATGATTGCTGTGGTGCCCAGGTATGAAGATATTTGATTATATCAGTCCTAAAGCTGATCTTTTGAAAGATTTTGACAGCTTGTTGAATTCTTTTAACCAAGTCCAAATTTCTTAGTTTTCTATTGCTACTATAACAAACTGCCACAAACTTACTGGCTTACAACACTAATGTATTATCTTACAGTTCTGAAGGAAAGAAGTCTTTGAAGTCAAGGCATCCATAATGCTATGTTACTTTTAAAACTCTGGGAGAGAATCTGCTTCCTTGCCTTTTCATTCTTCTAGAGGTCACCTGCATACCTTTGCTTATAGTCCCTTCCTCCATTTCCAAAGCACATTACTTCAACCTCTGTTTTTGTAGTCACATCTCATTTTTCTGTTTTTGACCTTCTTGACTCCCTTTTCTAAGGGCCCTTGTAATCACTTGGGGCCCAACTGAATAATGCAGGATAATCTACCCATCTCAAAATCTTTAAGTTAATCACATCTGAAAAAATGCCTTTTGCCATGTAGGGTAACATATTTATATGGCTTAGGACGTAGACATCTTTGATGGGCCATTATTCTGTCTACCATACCAATCTATCTGTAATAATACAATGCTTTACACTTACAGTTAAGGCACTTGCGTCCATGAGGCCAAAACTGCTTGCCTGATGTTCATAAGTACCATTCTTATAAGTATATAATAAGATTATCAAGGGTTTACCATTTAATCCTAATAACTATATTAGGTAGAAATTATTATAATCCTCATTATGAAGATGCAGTTGTGGAGCTCAGAGAAATTAATAAACTTTTCTAAGTTCACAGAGCTAGTGAGTGTCAAAGCTAGGACTCAAATCCAGGTGTTACTCTAAAGCCCATGAAATTTCTTTTTTTTTTTTTTTTTTGAGACGGAGTCTTGCTCTGTCACCCAGGCTGGAGTGCAGTGGCCGGATCTCAGCTCACTGCAAGCTCCGCCTCCTGGGTTCACGCCATTCTCCTGCCTCAGCCTCCTGAGTAGCTGGGACTACAGGCGCCCGCCACCTCGCCCGGCTAGTTTTTTTGTATTTTTTAGTAGAGACGGGATTTCACCGTGTTAGCCAGGATGGTCTCAATCTCCTGACCTCGTGATCCGCCCGTCTCGGCCTCCCAAAGTGCTGGGATTACAGGCTTGAGCCACTGTGCCCGGCCTGCCCATGAAATTTCTAGTTCTTTACTCTGCCTTATTAGTTTTTTGTTGAGTTTATTTGCTTCGCTTTCTGGCCATAGTATATACCTAAACCTTGTCCATTAATACCACAATTGGGTTGCTTTGGGCCACATGTGGCTAAGTCAGGGCAAATTCAACATTGCCACTGCAAGTACAATTCAATTCAAGAAACATTTATTGAGAATCAATATATGCTCTACCCAGTGCAAGGCCCATGCCTCACTAATGGTGATGACTCATTTGAGCCATATTGATATGTTATATTACTGCCAGAGAATTAGGCTGCAGCCAAACTATTCCATGGTTATCTCTCAGGATGAAAGGGAGCAGATACCTCTTGAGCAGTTCAGTATAAAGGCCATGCCTTGCCACTGGGAAATTGTCAAGTTTTATAAGCTCCTTTAACACTGAAATCCATCTACCTCCAGGAGATAAGAGATAGTTTTCTGCATTTTTTAACCGTTCAAAAGATAGTCCCTAAGATAAGCAGTGTCCCTGGGCTTATGAAGGTAGAAATACAGCTGTGGACCATTGCAGGCTGGTTTACCCAAAGTTAACATGACTATATTTGAAATTTTTCCTTCTACATTTCTGTTAATATTATATGACTTTATCTTTTCAGGGATAGTGGAAAGTCAAACCCAAAGATGATGCTAAGGTGACATTAATCTGATTGTTGTGTTGGCCAATGAATGCATTACTCTTTCAGAAGCCACCCTTTAAGCAATCCATCTCAGGCTTTGTAACTCCCCCACATTTCATACACCGCCTTGCCCAGATGCTCTATATCCTTTTATACTCTAAGCTCAAACTGATTGCTCTTGTGTCTCAGTGCCCCATGAAGCTTTATTTTTTATAGGTCTAATAAACATTTATCATTATTAAAATATAGAACTTTGTTATCCCTCCAAAATAATGATTTTACCTGTTAAAGGATCAATGGAGAGTATATTAGTCAGGGTTCCCTAGAGGGACAGAACTAATAGGATGGATATATATATATAACAAGGTCCCACAATAGACTGTCCCAAGCTTGAGGAGCAAGGAGAGCCAGTCCGAGTCTCAAAACTGAAGAACTTGGAGTCTGATGTTTGAGGGCAGGAAGCATCCAGCACCGGAGAAAGATGTAGGTTAGGACACTAGGCCAGTCTCGCCTCTTCACGTTTTTCTGCCTGCTTTATATTCGCTGGCAGCTGATTAGATTGTGCCCACCAGGTTAAGGGTGGGTCTGCCTTCCCCAGCCCACTGACTCAAATGTTAATCTCCTTTGGCAACACCCACATGGACACACCCAGGATCAATACTCTGCATCCTTTAATCCAATCAAGTTGACATTCAGTATTATCCATCACGGTGGGGGTGGGGGAGAGAGAGAGAGAAAGAGAGAGTTTGAGATTGAGATTGAGATTGATTAAGATTCAAATATCTCACTCCTGGAATTTTTTTTTCCTTTCCTCCTGAATCTGCTCCTTTATCAGAACTTCTTATTTTGCCATATTCTCTTAATATTCCAAATACAGAGTAGACTCAAGAGCTGCTTTTTCTCCATTTATCAAAAGTTACCTAGATAAACTATTGATTTTTGGTTTAGTTTTACACTTTTAAAAATGTTAATATGTGTCAGGCATTTTGCTAGGTTCTAGAGAGACAAAAGAAATCAGACAAATCTCATAACCTGGCGGAGCTTTTAGATTAAGAAGAAATAGATATAGTAACAGAATGTTTTGGTGTGTCTCAGTATAGACAAATACACATAAAGCTATGGAAGATTAGAATTCTTGATAAGCTAACTTATTTTGCTGGATGTATACACTGTCATTGGGCAAAAAATTGGCTTACCGCCTTTCTTTTCCAGGTGTGTGGTCCCACCCTGATTCAAACTTGGATCAACTTAATCTCAGACTGTATTACAATAGTCTCCCAGCTAATTTTCATGTTTCTTCTC